TCCCAGGAAGACTTGGTTAGCAACTGGGAGCCTGCTCTCAGTTTGATAGAGGATGCCGTCTCCGGGGCCGAGATTGCCACTCGCTGGCTCTGGCTGTTGCCTGCCTGCCTCTCTGCCTCCAATGGGGGATGGGCCGGTCCCCAGCCTGCTGGCTCTCCTCTGGTATTCGCTCACTCCTTTGTTCTGTGAGTGAGGCCGGAAGTGCCTTAGGTTAGAGCTTTTCGTGGGAAATCTCTCTCTCTCTCTCTCTCTCTCTCTCTCTCTCTCTCTCTCTCTTTTTTCTCTCTCTCTCTATCTATCCCATGGTTTGGGTTGGTATCTCAGGTTAGCTCCCTCAGATTGTCCTTGGGGCATTTAGGTCTGATCCTTACCCTAAGCAATGCAGCCTGCGCCTCCTGTTCAGCCCCCACTTGCTGGTGGTGGATGTGAGTGCCTGGGCTACTTCTCCACTGGGAATTGTGGTTAGGCATGTAATCTGTGGGGTTTATTTATTTATTTTTTCCTCCAGATTATCTTGCCCTCTGAGATTCCAAAACTCCCCACAGACCCACCCGTAAGAGGGTTTCCTGATGTTTGGAAATTTCTCCTTCACGACTCCCTCCCCAGGATGGATCTCCATCCCTAACTCTTTTGTCTCTCTTTTTACCTTTTATATTTTGTCCTACTTCCTTTTGAAGACAATGGGCTGCCTTTCTGGGTGCCTGGTGTCCTCTGCCAGTGTTCAGAAGTTGTTTTGTGGAATTTGCTCAGTGTTCAAATGGTCTTTAAATGAATTTGTGGGATAGAAAGCGGTCTCCCTGTCCTGTTCTTCCAACATCTTAGGACCGCCTCCCCAGACTGATTATATTCTTTGCAGCCAAAGATGGAGAAGCTCTATACAGTCAGCAAAAACAAGACTGGGTACTGACTGTGGCTCAGATCATGAACTCCTTATTGCCAAATTCAGACTTTAATTGAAAAAAGTAGGGAAAACCACTAGACCATTCATGTATGACCTAAATCAAATCCCTTAAGGTTATACAATGGAAGTGAGAAATAGATTTAAGGGACTAGAGCTGATAGACAAATTACCTGATGAACTATGGATGGAGATTCACGACATTGTATAGGAGACAGGGATTAAGACCATCCCCAAGAAAAAGAAATACAAAAAGCAAAATAGCTGTCTGAGGAGGCCTTACAAATAGCCGTGAAAAGAAGAGAAGTGAAAAACAAAGGAGAAAAGGAAAGATATACCCATCTGAATGCAGAGTTACAAAGAATAGCAAGGAGAGACAAGAAAGCCTTCCTCGGTGATCAGTGCAAAGAAATAGATGAAAACAATACAATGGGAAAGACTAAAGATCTCTTCAAGAAAATTAGAGATACCAAGGAAGCATTTCATGCAAAGAAGGTCACAATAAAAGACAGAAATAGTATGGACCTAACAGAGGCAGAAGATATTAAGAAGAGGTGGCAAGAATACACAGAACTGTACAAAAAAGATCTTCACAACCCAGATAATCATGATGGTGTGATCACTCACCTAGAGCCAGACATCCTGGGATGTGAAGTCAAGTGGGCCTTAGGAAGCCTCACTATGAACAAAGCTAGTGGATGTGATGGAATTCCAGTTGAGCTATTTCAAATCTTAAAAGATGATGCTGTGGAAGTGCTGCACTCAATATGCCAGCAAATTCAGAAAACTCAGCAGTGGCCACAGGACTAGAAAAGATCAGTTTTCATTCCAAGCCCATAGAAAGTCAGAGCCAAAGAATGCTTAAACTACCACACAATTGCACTCATGTAACATGCTAGTAAAATAATGCTCAAAATTCTCCAAGCCAGGCTTCAACAATACATGAACTGTGAATGTCCAAATGTCCAAACTTGTTTTAGAAAAGGCAGAGAAACCAGAGATCAAATTGCCAACATCCACTGGATTATTGAAAAAGCAAGAGAGTTCCAGAAAAGCATCTATTTCTGCTTTATTGACTATGCCAGAGCCTTTGATTATGTGGATCACAACAAACTGTGGAAAATTCTGAAAAAGATGGGAATACCAGACCATCTGACTTGCCTCTTGAGAAATCTGTATGCAGATAAAGAACCAATGATTAGAATTGGACATGGAACACATTACTGGTTCAAATAAGAAAAGAAGTATGTCAATGCTATATATTGTCACCTTGCTTATTTAACTTACACACAGAGTACATCATGAGAAATGCTGGGCTAGATGAAGCACAAGCTGGAATCAAGATTGCCAGGAGAAATATCAATAACCTCAGATATGCAGATGACACCACCTTATGGCAGAAAGTGAAGAAGAACTAAAGAGCCTCTTGATGAAAGTGAAAGAGTAGAGTGGAAAAGTTGGCTTAAAGCTCAACATTCAGAAAACTAAGATCATGGCATCCAGTCCCATCAATCCATGGCAAATAAATGGGGAAACAATGGAAACAGTGGCAAACTTTACTTTCTTGGGCTCCAAAATCACTGCAGATGGTGACTGCAGCCATGAAATTAAAAGATGCTTACTCCTTGGGAGAAAAGTTATGACCAACCTAGACAGCATATTAAAAAGCAAAAATGTTAACTTTGTCAACAAAGGTCCCTCTAGTCAAGGCTATGGTTTTTCCAGTAGTCATGTATGGATGTGAGAGTTGGACTATAAACAAAGCTGAGTGCTGAAGAATTGATGCTTTTGAACTGTGGTGTTGGAGAGGGGTCTTTAGAATCCCTTGGACTGCAAGAAGATCCAACCTGTCCATCCTAAAGATCAGTCCTGAGTGTTCATTGGAAGGACTGATATTGAAGCTGAAACTCCAGTTCTTTGGCCACCTGAAGCAAAGAGCTGACTCATTTGAAAAGACCCTAATGCTGGGAAAGATTGAAGGTGGGAGGAGAAGGGGAAGACAGAGGATGAGATGGTTGGATGGCATCACTGACTCAATGGACATGAGTTTGGGTGATGGACAGGGAGACCTGATGTGCTGCAGTCCATGGAGTTGCAGGGAGTCAGACATGACTGATCAACTGAACTGAACTCTAAATAGAAATACCAGTGAAAAGCAAATCAAAGAAACAGTTTCCAACATGGAGTCAAAATTAGTTCTTCTCTGCAACAATTACCCCTTCTCTGCAACAGTTACCCACTGTCAAAATCCATTCCACAATCTTGTGGAAAAAAGGGGTGATGACCATTCAGCTTTGTCAGATGGATCTTTCTGAGGGTGTCTGCCATTGATGCCAATGTTCCAAACGTAGATTTGTCTTCTTTTGTTCCTCTTTGGAAAGTGTATACTTTACACATGTAGACCTACTAGATCAAGTCCATTCACTCAAGGCTTGATATTTCTAACAAGTTCTACTACCTGTCCCTAAACCACTCTGAATAATTAGGGCCTACATTCCACCTTCTTCTTTCTGTTTAAACACTTAGGGCAAAACTTTCACACCTATAGGCTTCCAGAGTTAGATAATAAGAAAGGTCAGAGGCAAGTTTGGAGGTTCATCAAAAGTTAAAATTAGACCTGCCTTATGATCTGGCAGTCGAACTCCTGGGTATGTACCCAGACAAAACTCTAATCCAAAAAACACATGCACCTTCATGTTCAGAGTAGCACTACCTACAATAGCCAAGATATAGAAACAACCTAAATGTCCATCAACAGATGAATGAATAAAGATGTGGTACACGTATATAATGAAACACTACCCAGCCATAAAAAGAGAATGAAATAATGCAACTTGCAGCAACATGGATGAACCTACAGTTTATCATATTGAGTGAAGTAAGTCAGAAAGAGAAAGAGAAATACAATGTGATATCTCTTTTGTGTGGAATCTGAACTATGACACAAATGAATTTATCTACAAAACATAAACAGACTCTCAAGCATACAGAATAGATTTGTGATTGCCAAGGGGGAGATAGAGTAGGGAGGGATGGATTGGGAGTTTGGAATTAGCAAATACAAACTACTGTTTATAGAATGAATAAACAATGTCTTGTTGCATATCACAGGGACCTATATTCAATAAACCACGATATAAGTGATATAATGATATGAACTGTATTCAATAGACCATGATTCCATGTGACAAACCATTATGGAAAAGAATATGAAAAATAATATGAAATATATACTAATATATATTAATCTATATATAATTATTAATATATTATAAATAAATAAAATGTACAATATGAAAAATATATTCCTTTTCATATCCTTTTATATATTATTGTGTGTGTGTATATATATATATATGTATATATATATACATAAAACTGAATCACACTGCTCTAGAGCAGAAATTTACACAACATTGGAAATCAACTATACTTCAGCAAAACAAATTTTTTTTAAAAAGAGTGGTCAAAGGAAAATTGCATCTGTTTCAACTCAAAGAAATCACTAAATAACTAGGAAAGTGCAAAATTTCTTCCCCAAGTGAGACTTCTAACCAGACAAGCATCAGATACCTCAACACAACGCAGATGGCAGAGAGGAAAAGAGTTTTAGAAGACTGTAAATTTGGTGCAAATTCAACACACTTTTACTGAGAGCACAGTGCATGCAGGTAAGACAATTTGACAAGGATACAAATAGTAAAAAGACATGGATGTTGCTCTCAAAAAGCTTAAAAATTAAAAGGGAAAAGGAACTTAAATAGCCACAACAACAGGTCTAAAGTGAGGAAACGATTTAGCAAAATCCAGTTCAATTGTGATGGCACTTTAGATGAGGCAGAGACAGCTCCCGCTTGAGAATCAGGGAAGGTCTTCTTCAAGAAGTGACATTTGAAATGATAAGCCTGACTGTCTATTCACATTTGAATACATGAAGGGCCCTTGAACTTAATTCCATTCAGAATTTAAATTATGAATTTTAAAGCCTTATAACACAGGATAGAAAAATAATTCTGCAAAATTACATTTAGCTTATATTGATCATTAAGTAGAAATAAACAACAACCAAAACAGGCATACAAGGAGAGAGCAAAGGTCATCATCACTGTCCTATGTTTACATGTGTCCTGAGCTCTTGAGCTGCTGGGATCTCTTTCCAAAGGGAGAAGAGTGCTTGGGTGTTCACAGTGTCTCCTGATGAGAATAGAGATGGAAGCCATTCTACGTGGGAAGGAGGTGAGAAGGAAGGGGCTGGGAGGTGAGAAGGAAGGGGCTGGGAGGTGAGAAGGAAGGGGCTGGGAGGAGGAAAACTGAGAAAAGAGAGAGAAAAAAAGCAAGCAAGTGGAGACTGGGGGAAAGGGTAGGAAAAATGGACACAAAAACTCACCAGTGCTTCCTAAGTCAAAATGCAGGACCTGTTAGGAGTACCAGGGTCGCAATCACTGCCAAGATGATCCAACCCACAGAGCAGTGATGATCTGTGGAGGGGGGTGCACACAAGGGTGTCCTCTCAAACCCACCCACTGTCTTACTTCATTTCTGTGCTCTGCATCTGCTACTCAAGTATCTGCCTCAACAACCTCCTTCTTCCTTATTTCCTCTCTTATCCCTCCTCAGAGATGACTCCATCTAACCTCCACACCTTCCTATATCTACGGGGCTCTCATTTTCAACTCCCGTATTTCTTATTTTTATTCCTTTTGGATCTGGGCTGCCTAGAATCCCCAGTTTTTCACCTGGCTCTCCTGCTCTGCCTGAGGACCACCTATTTCCATCCCAGCAGGTCCCAGTTCTTCCTCACCCCAGTGGAGGATGATGTCCTGGCCTCCTAGACTGCTGTGTCTCACCCGGCAGCTCAGGCCAGATGCCTCACTGGCTTCCACATCCAAGGAAATCTGAAGATACCACGTCCCATCAGCATTAGGTAAGACATCACTTCTCTGAGTGCCCTGTTGCTCCTGCTCACCCCGCATCCACATCACCCAAATGGACTTTGGGTAGAAGCCAGAGGCGTGACAAACCAGCATCAGACGGCCAGGGCCAGGGCTGGGGCCAGGGGACAGCCAGGCCTCCGGTCGTACTGCAGAAGACAGGGAAGATCATCAGATGAGGTCTCTAGTACAGACTCAGAGGTTCAGAGCTTCATGTCAGTTTAGATGGACATTCTTTTCCCACCGTTAGCAGTCGTCACCCATTATCCCCTCCACCACTTGGCTCCTTGTTAGGAAGAAGAGAAGGTGTGATTTTAGCACAAAAAAATTGTGGAGGGAGGGTGCATCATCTCTGGAGATATGCCTTTCCTGCCTCGAGAAGACCCAAGAGGAAACGTGGGCAGATGTCACTCAGCAACTTCTGTGTTTCCTGGGTGTGTCCACAAAGGCCGGATAGCCTGCCGACCCACACGACTTGTCTGGAAGCTCAGCAGTTCTGATCCTTGATAAGCAAACCACACAAAGTCGATTGAGGCTTCACCAGCATGCCACTCACAGCCTTCTGTTATCTGTATTTCAAAGGGATCCAGGGACGAGGAGTTACCAACCAGAGAGAAGTGGACACTAAAAGAAAAAGGGAATCAAAAGATGATGGAAGCAGAAAGAAGAGGTTTAGAAGATTTGAGGAAATGAAGCAAGATTGGCTTGATAAAAGTTCAAAGAAAAGGAAATTGGTGGTAGTTGGAGATTGAGGAAGAGATCAATGGCATGAGGAGAAAAGTGTTTGAAGAAGGCAATATAAAGGATGAGGATAATAGATAATAGTATAATAAGGAAGGAGCGAGTGGAATGCAATAGGTTATATTGAGTGTGTAAATAGAGATTGCTGAGGAGATTGAATGGGGAAGAAAGTCACACTTTAAGAAGTCCATCATAGAGTGAGGAAACTGAAGCTACCTAGTCAGAGTCGAGTGAAAGGGGCTGTCACAGGTGACCACTGATGGAATATAATAAACCACAAGCCTGCAGTCAATAAGAGGGAAATGTATAAGTAAGTAGCAGAAGTCTTGAACATTGTTGGAAGACAGGGTCTGGATTACACCCCTTGCCCAGCTGCTGTTCTATGGTAGGGAGAGGTAAGGCTCAGAATTGAGTGGAAATTGATTGGAGGATGTATTTTAGAGAAATAAGAAACTCAGAGATACACACACACACAAACACACACACACCTCTCACTGTATCCCCAATCCCTATTGAGGGAACTGAATTTACATTCAAGTTGCCATTGATTGGCATTGTTGTGAAATACCTGCAAAACTATAGTAAATCTCCTGTGAGATACACTTTGCATTTCCATTAAATCCTCATTGTTGAAGTTGCCGTTGGACCAAGGCCATAGGTAAATGACTGTGTGAGAGCTGCTTTTCCAGCTATGAGTCTGCAAGTCACCCAACTAAGCTGAGCCCAGATTTTGTACCCAAGAATGGTTGTAAAATGATAAAATACAAATGAATTAGAAAGAGATTGGCTCCTGGAAGCCTGTGGGAAAAGAACAAAGAAAATGAGAAGGGACATTGGGAAGGAGAGAGAGTGGAGAAAGAAAGGTACCAAAGAAGGGAAACTTGGTATATAATAGAAAAGGCAAGCCATAGATTCTCAGTGGACATTTGGCTGACCCAGGGTCCCAAGAGTTAGTTATATGCAACCTTCAAGAGAGCACAGAGGGGTGGGATGTTCTGAGAGAATAGCATTGAAACAAGTATACTATCAAGGGTGAAACAGATCACCAGCCCAGGTTGGATGCATGAGACAAGTGCTCAGGGCTGGTGCACTGAGAAGACCCAGAGGGATCGAATGGGGAGGGAGGCAGGAGGGGGGATCAGGATGGGGAACACATGTAAATCCATGGCTGATTCATGTCAATGTATGGCAAAAACCACTACAATATTGTAAAGTAATTAGCCTCCAACTAATAAAAATAAATGAAAAAAAAAAAAAGAGAGAGCACAGAGAACTGGAGTCAGGGATACTTAGAATGTAACTGGGCTGATAACTCTCAATCTCCATCTTGGGGCAACCATTACACATGCACACAAGCATGCATGTGCACACACACACACACCCACACACACACACACACACACACCTTCCTGGAAAAGAGCGCTTACCCTCTTCATTGTCACCACCTGGGAGGAGAGTAAAGAACAATGAAAGTTGCAGAAACAGCATCTCATTTGCAGATGTTCTTTCTCACAGAAAAGTAGGTCTTTGATTTCTGTTCTAAACAAACCCACCCCAAAACACCTCTGTTCTGACTTCCTCTTCCTGCCAACAAGCAAACCTTTCCTTTAGTCACTGACTGAAAAAAGAAAGCGTGCTCCTTCCCTAAGCTCTGGACCACATACTCAGATATTCATTTCCCTTCCAGTTCTGATACTCCTCTCTGGATTCCAGTTTCTCTCTTTGTCACCAACATCCATTCTGCTCACCTTTCTGTAATTTAACTGCTATGGACCAAATCTTACATGGTGTTGGAAAGTCAATGTATTTGTAAGGCCTCTTTTCTCATTCATACAATAAATGAATGAAACTAAATGTCTTCTTAGCATCATGTCTAATACTCTCTTGCCCCTGCTCATTTCCATCAGTCTTTCTCTTGCTTTTCTGAATATTTCCTCAAATATTCTCTTCCTCTTTCTCACGTTCACCCCACCTCACTCATATCTCTGACTTTTCTTGGTTCCTTTATTAGCATTTTCAGAATCCCCTATGGGTTCTCTGAGAAACAGTATAAACTGACATATTCTTCATTATTCTTAGGGAAGAGCCAGTAGCCATCACAAAGACCACAGGAATATTGTAACATTCTGTTTGTTTCAAACAAATTCTCTGTTTGATCTGTATTGAAATATATTCACTCACAAAAGAATCACTTAGCATCTGAAACCAAGCATCTGTTACACCTGTGAATTGTGTTATGTAGTGGCTGAAAATACAATTACTTTATTCAAGGACATTTTAAATTTCTTGGGAGAAAAAACATCTGAAACAAAAATTGTAAATCTTGGCGTGCTGAGACTTATTATAAAGTATAAACTCTAAACAAACAACAACAAAGAAAAAAAAAAAAAACAGCATCCTTGAAACATTTGCCAAAATGGTGGCCCTTAACTCTTTTGTTTACCCAACAGGATCTTGTCTTCAGAGGTTGCCTTGAGGTATTAGATCTATAGCCTGCTTAACAAATTGTTTTCACTGAGTAAATTTGAAGATATAATGGACTTTATTCGATGATTCATGAATTGGGCAGCATTCTATCTAGCAGCTGGAAGGGTACACAGAGAAATAGTATAAAATGGAAGATTTTTATAGGAAGAAAGGTGATGCAGGGGAGAAATTTTCAAAAAAAAAAGAAAGAAAGGGTTATTTTAAGGCAGGACAGATTTTTGAGGGGAAGGGAATGGCAAGAATCTTATCATGTAGATTGCCTCTTCTTCCTCTGGAGGGTGAAGAGGGCCTACCTGGAAGATTATCTCATCGGTGCCAATTCAAAATTGCAAAATGGTTGATTATGATTACATTTCTGATGAAGGCCGAAACTGCAAAGTTAGATATTGAATCAAGGTTTGAACATTCTTTCAACTGCCCTTCTTTGAGACTGTAATGAAAACATCCTTTCCAGACCTGTGGCCACTGCTGAGTTTTTCAAATTTACTGATATATTGAGTGCAGCACTTTAACAGCATCATCTTTTAGTTTATAACTCGACTGGAATTCCATCACCTCCACTAGCTTTGTAGTAATGCTTCTTAAGGCCCACTTATATGTGGGTCAACAGTGAGAACCTTATATGGAACAGCTGACTGGTTCAAAATTAGGAAAGGAGTACCATAGGCTGTATATTGTCACACAGTTTATTTAACGTATATGCAGAGTACCTTATGCAAAATGTCAGGCTAGATGAATCACAAGCTGGAATCAAGATTTCTGGGAGAAATACCAACAACCTCAGATATGCAGATGTCACCACCCTAATGTCAGAAAGTGAAGAAGAACTAAAGAGCCTTTTGAGCAAGGTGAAAGAGGAGAGTGAAAAAGCTGGCTTACAACTCAACATTCAAAAACTAAAATCATGGTATTTGGTTCCATCACTTCATGGCAAATAGAAGAGGAAAAAGTAGAAGCAGTGACAGATTTTACATTCTTGGGCTCCAAAATCACTGTGGATAGTGAATGCAGCCATGAAATTAAAAGATGCTTGCTCCTTGAAGGAAAAGTTAAAACACACTTAGACAGCATATTAAAAGACAAAGACATCACTTTGCTGACCAAGGTCTGTGTAGTCAAAGCTATGGATTTTCCAGTAATCATGTACAGGTGTGAGTTGGACAATACAGAAGGTTGAGCACCAAAGAATTGGTGCTTTCAAATTGTGGTTCTAGGAAAGACTCCTAAGAGTCCTTTGGACAGCAAGGAGATCAAAACCAGTTAATCCTAAAGGAAATCAACCCTGAATATTCATCTGATGGACTGACGCTGAAGTTGAAGCTCCAAGACTTTGGCCACCTGATGCAAAGGGCTGATTCACTGGAAAAGACCCTGATGCTGGGAAAGATTGAAAGCAAAAGGAGAAGGGGTGACAGAGGATGAAATGATTAAGTAGCATCACCAACTCAGTAGTCATGAGTTTGAGCAAACTCTGGGAAACAGTGAAGGACAGGAAGCTTGGTATGCTGTAGCTCACAGGTCCCAAAGTCAGATCCGACTTAGCAACTGAACAACAACAAAAAACCTTACTTGATGAAATGAGAAAGTTCAGGGTTTATTTTTTTGGACTAAAGTACATGCTAATAAGTATCATGTTTAAACAAAGGACCCTGCTGTAAATCTCTTATTAATGATGTAAAAATTAATAAACAAAAACCTCAATTAAATAAAGTCAGGAAATCTGAAGTGGGGGTTCTCAGGCTTTCCAATGGCTCACCATGATTGCAGATAACAAATTTCAGTTCTCCATTCTTCCTGAATAAACCCATCTTGTCTGGTGATATATCTGGTCATCTATTTATTTTAGATCAACACATAATAAGAAACTAGTAATAATATGTGGGAAGTAAAGTGAATAGAATATTCTGGAGTTATTTATACAAGATTATCTTCTTATTGGTCTTCCCTGAATGTTCCATGCTTGCGTTATCATATACTGCTCTCTGATGTAAATGCTGATCTCCCTCATTCATGGTGTTTGTAACTGTCTAAAGTCTCTTCAATATTAGTTTATGCTAATTATCACCTGGATAGATGCATTTAGGCTATTTATTTTCTTATTTCTTGGCATATAACTAATCTGAAAAGTTATTTTGGGCTAATTCAAGGAAGAAAACTTTTTGGAAAATTAAGATTAGAAAACAGAAAGCTGGAAAGAGCTTCCCTTGAATACTTGTAATATTTAAAAACTGGATAAGCAAGATCTCAACCTGTCTTGAAACCATCACAATACTGAAGTATCGGGACCACCAACTAACCCAAAACTTAAGGAAAGACAGATTCCTCCAAGGAAATAAGAAAAGCAAATCCTTGTTTATTTGGGACAGATGCCAGATGCTGCACAAGACAGTAAGAATAATTCAGCTAAAACCGTTAATAAATTCCTAAAGTCTAGTGTGAATATATAGAACCCTTAGGATCCACAGACAAGGGAAATTCACTTTTTACCATCTACCTCACCAAGGACTCCTGAAAGATCGGAATCAGTATATAGACCAGAGAAATCCTCCCTCACGGTACAAGCCTGAGATCTGAGAAAGGTAGGAAGTCCCAACCAGATCTTTCCCCACTATCTCCCACACAGAAAAGGACAGAGGCTGGGAGCATGGGAGAGGGAAGGGAAGAAAGTTCTATTGTCTTCAGAACATGGGTGAAGACACACAGCAGCTGGAGGAAGGAGGAAAATGGAGAAGGGACAATAAAAGAGCCTGTCCTCACCTATTAGAGATTCCATCCTGCTGAGAGCAAAGTGGGAACACTTAGAAGGCCCAAGTCCCACAAGAATAAGACAGAGTCAGATTAAGATAATGCCCCTACTTCCTATTCCAAGCAGGTGAGTGAACAAGGAGTAGTAAGAACTTTCCACTGATGCAAGAGCGGCACCAGTGTGACCATAAATCTTCTTTAAGAAACTCACAAAGGAAATCTCCACTGATGCAAGAGAACAAAGGAAATACCAATGCGGGCAAGCCTGCAAGAGAACCAGGAAAGGCATTTTTCCCCTGCTTTTTAAACATGAGGTCCCACATTTATATTTGGTGCTGGACTCCAAAATCGTGTAGCCACGAGTGCTTATAGTATTCACTGTAGACTGGGGAAAAGCAGGAGGAGGCAGTTTGACTTTGGGTGGGAAAAAGAGGAAGAAGAGTTAACTACCTGAAGAATGGAGGTTGAAAACAACAGGTTGAGAGCAGGGCAGAGAGACCAAGGACATTACAGATGGAGGAGGAAAGGAGGAAGCCCAGATGAGGAACAAGAAGAGGGGAGGAGGGAGGAACAAGAAGAAAGAGGAGGAGGGTGGCAGAGGCTGGGATTGGAGGAGGAAGGAGAGGAAGCTGAGAGGGAGGAGCAGGAGGAGGACTGGAAAGAGAAGTGGAGCAGAGCCACTGATTCTTCAGCTCAGCTTCTGTGGGCAACTTTGGTCCTAATCAGGGTGCAGGAAGCAGCTAGGATTTGAGTTGTGGCCCCACTGTGGACCTGCTGCTTCCCAGGGAGCTCCACTCCTGAGCATACACTCAGCTATGGTGGATGAAGAACAGCTCTGAAGGAGAAGAAAGGATAGCGGTTTCTCAGGAGCTGACTGAGAAATACTGGGAAATGGGGGAGCTGAGAAAAACCAGAACTGGAAGCCAAAATCAAGGGCTAAGGTGGGGACAGGGGTGAGATGACTGTGACCAGAGGGAAAAAAAAGAAAGGAAAGAACTAAGGGATCTGCTCCCTGGACCAGCAAAACCTAGAAGAGAAATCTGGGCATGTTGGGATATACCTTGATTATAAATCAAGTTGGTTGGATATCCTAGGAGAGTCTGGTATTCTTCCCTGGGTCACCAGACCTCCCTGAGGATCCTTCTTGATTCATTGGTCAAGACTTAAGTCACTGGTGCTTAGGCCACAAGCAATCTTATATTCTCTCTAACAACTGTCTCTTGGTGCTCCTTCATACACCATCTCAGCCCTTTAAT